AGGTAGGGATATATAACAAGTCCAAGGGCTCCCAAACGGAAATAAGCTTGACTTGTTTCATAGGACAGATACAAGGCCAGTGTGGCTGGAGTGTATTTGAAGTGGGAGATGAGGTTGGTGCTGTAGGGAGGCTGAACCTTAGCGTAATAAGGGCCTTGTAGATCATTGTTCCAATTACCTATTGCTGCATATCAAAACACCCCAAAAGTTGGTGGCATCGAACAGCAACAGTCATTAGTCTTGCTCATGAAACTGGGGGTGCCTGGAGTCAGGCAGGCAGCCCTTGCTCAGGCTCTCTCACATGGCTGCAGTTAGGTGGTGGCTGGGGCCAGGGTCATCTCAGAGCTTCTCCGTTCACATGTCTGGAGCCTGGGCTAGATAGACAAACAACTGGAAGCCGGAACACTGCTGGTTCTTTGGCTTTCTCTCTCTCTCTGTGGTCTCTCCACGTGGACTTAGGGTAGCTCAATTTCTTACATGGTGGCTACAGGTTTTCAGAGCAAGTATATCAACAGAAACTGGCAGAAGCTTCAGGGTATTTCTAGCTTTGAAAGTCACACAGTGTCACTTCCACATTTGGTTCATCAAGGTAGTCACCAAGATTCACTCAGGTCCAAGAGGACGAAACATAGACTCAACTTCTTGTTGGAAGAGTGTCGAATAATGTGTGGACATGTTTTAAAACCACCACAGTCATGGCAAAGGGTTTGGATTATATTTTTACAATGGGAAGCCACTGGTGGGTTTTTAACAAAGGAATGATGTGCAACGATTTACAATTTTCAAATACCACTCTGTCAGGATTACTAGATGCAAAATCAACACACGAGTCAATTGTATTTTTATGTACCAGCAAAAATAGTTAGAAAATAAAATTTTAAAGTTGGCACCATTTACAAGAATGTTTAAAAAAATACCAACTACTTAGGAATAAATCCAACAAGAAATGTGTAAGACCTTTATGCAGAAAGCTATGAACAATTGTTGAGAGAAACTGAAGACTAAATAAATGAAGGGATATAGCATTTTCAAGGATTGCAAGACTGATTATTATAAAGATAGCGTTTTTCTCAAATTGGTCCATAGACTCAATGCAATACCAATCCAAATACTCATCGCTTCTTCCATAGAACTTGACAAGCTAATTCTAAAAGGCATATGGAACTGTGAAGGATCAAAAATAGCAAGCCATTCTTTTTTTTTTTTTTTTTTTTTTCCAGATAGACTGTTTGTGTCACAGTCAAAAGCTTCCTGGGTGGATGAATCTAAACCTAAATCACTTCCTCGCTCTACTTGATTCCATTCCTTCCATGGAGAAAGATCCTCACGTAAAGAGAGCTGAGAATCACTGTAATGAACTAGCCACTGTTGAAGGAGGAGGAAGAAAAGGAAGAGGAGGAGGAGGGATCTTCTCTACTTGACATAAGACTTATCATAAAGCCGGTGTGACTCATTATTAAGGCAGTGTGATATTGCCACAAGGAACACAAATAGAAAAATGAATACACAAATAGACCAATGTAATAGAAGGGCCCAGAAACAGACCCATGCACATATGGACACTTGATTCATGTCAAAGATGGTATCGCAAAAGAGGGAGGGAAAGGATGGTCTTTTCAGTAAATAGAGTTGGAATAATTGGGTATCCACACGGAAAGAAGGAAGAAAAGAAGGGAGGGAGGAACGGAAAAAGGGAGGGAGGCAAGCATATACTCTGCAGAAATACTTGCACATATGCACTGGGAGACATGTACAAGACTGTTTGTAACAGTATTATTCATAATATCCTAAATTAGAGACAACCCAAAAATTCAACAGGATGGATAAATGTGATATATTCATAAAATAGAGTACTTTACAGCAACAAAAATAAATAAACTGCAGCCTCATACAGAATAGATGAATCTTAATTAAAAACATAACACTGAATGAAAGAAGCCAGACACAGAATACATGTGATTTAATTTACAAAAAATTCAAAACCAGGGAACTCTTTTAGCGATGTGTAATAAAGTGATGAAGCTGTAAGGCAAGGCAAGCCAGGATAGCGGTTATTTTTATAAGGGAGATAGGGGTTAACATTGGGAAGGGATTGCAGGGCAGGGCTTCTAGAGGTTCAGCTATATTCTACTTCTTGACCTACATGGTGGTTATGTAGTATTTGCTTTATAATTCATACAGTAGTTGTATACGTATTTTATTTACTTCTCTATATGCATGTTATATTTCACAGGAAAAAAGTTCTAAAAACCCAAATTCACTTTGGCTATTGTGTAAGCAGGCAAGTGTGCAGGCATGAAGTCCAGTTGTCCAGTGAGGACAGGATGGAGGCTTGGACTAGGGTTGAGAAGTGGTCATATTTAGGAAATATTTTAGAGGTAGTCGTAACAGGACTTGATGTGGAATATGAAGGAAGAAAAAGATAAAGCAACAAACGTACTGAGAGTCATAAAACAGTGAGAGAGTATGCAACGGAATTAACTAAGTTTTTGAAGCAGAAAACTCATGTGAAGCGCTCAGTTGTGTGAGCGGGTATTAGATGGAGGACTTCTGTCCTTTCTTAGGGGAGGCTTCACAGAATAGCTGAGAAAACAAACACTTGACACAGATTGTGGAGGAAATGGATGAGGGGATGATACAATTAAGAGAGCTGTTGACACTTTACAGGTAGAAGATAGTGTGTAGTGTTCTATACTCTTTCGCACATTGTTTTATTTTTGAGACATTTCATACGTTCTCTTTCAAATAGATTTTTATCTACTTATGACTATCATTTAGATCCAGAATAAAAGGTGTAGCACATTATGTCAAACACAGTAGCCATTCCATAAATTCTGATTGAACTATGAAGTCTTGAACAAGCATATCACACAACCCCTGGAATCCAGGATCAGCCGTGGTAAGCCAACATGACACACACATGATCCTGGTTGCATGTATAGCAATGTCTCTATACTACAAAATACATATTAGTAGCTTTTACGTTAGTGGCTTAGTTTTAACTTTAGGATGTTACAGGAATTTAACTTTTTTTTTTTTTTGAGGAATATTAGCCCTGAGCTAACTACTGCCAATCCTCCTCTTTTTGCTGAGGAAGACTGGCCCTGAGCTAACATCCATGCCCATCTTCCTGTACTTTATATGTGAGACGCCTACCACAGCGTGGTTTTTGCCAAGTGGTGCCATGTCCGCACCCGGGATCCGAACCGGCGAACCCCAGGCTGCCGAAGCAGGACGTGCACACTCTACTGCTGTGCCACTGGCCGGCCCCCTGAATTTAACTTTTGATACAACTTTTTCTCATTGGATAGACTGACGGGTGTGGGAATAAAGGAGGGGTATATAGAAACAATGTCTAGAAACAAAAGTCTGTGGGAAGGGAGACTCTTAGTCAACCCGCTTTATCTAGTAAGCCTTCCTGCATGAGTCAGAGTCAGAGTTGATCTGAGAATCATCCAGAATTAACAGTAGAAGGAGGGAGGATCTTTTTCAGGCTTGTGGGAAAATGAGAGCAGGATAAGCAGTGATTTTAAAACTCTCTGGAGTCCCTGATTTAGTATTTGATTTAGGCATGACTCTCCCTTTCATACTCAATACTTTATGACATTAAAAAACTTACTGTTGGGCTGAATAAGAGTGAATTTTGCTTTGACAGGTGTTTGAGATTACACTAGGGCCCTTGAGAGAACTGAAAACGAGAACACTGAAAACCAGTGATGGAGAGAAAGCAACAAAGGAAAGATTCTATTAGCTAGAGCACAGGCCAAGTGAGATCACAGCTAATGCTCACACAATGTTTACTGTGGACCAGGTACCATCCTAACGGCTTTACCTTTAACTCACTTAATTCTCACAACAATGTTGTGAGGTCATCCTCATTTTATACATGAAGAAACCAAGGCACCGGGAGGTTGGTTAAGTAAATTGGCTGAGGTAGCAGAACTGGAATTTGAAGCCCAGCATTCTGATTCTAGAATCCATACTCTTAACCAAGGTGCTTAGAAACAGAGGAAGAGACAGCATAAATTCTAGAACTTCTTCATGCTTCTTTATATAAACTATGGTGGCATTTTAACAGGAGGAACGAAGACAATCATCTTCTCCACTTCATCCCTATTGCTTATTCCTTCGGTTTTCCGACAACCATATTCTCATGGGTGATTCTGAGTTAAAAATGTAGCTGATCTCAGCTCTATTGTTTTTTTTAACCTAGCAAATATTTGCTATTTTAAAAAATGTTGTATGCTTAATCATATATGAAAAAAATCAGCTGAGGCTTTTAAGTTAAAGATCCAAAATAACCAATTAGATTTTTGTTTCTGCAGAATATTGAAATACTTTACAGCTATGTATTGGATTTGGTGTGCTAATGTCCACTAAATTGCAGCACTTTAAGGGGCATCCAGGAGCAATTAATACACTAATTACTAGAGGTCACAAGAGCTGTCATAATTGACAGTCTTCTTTTTAATCTCCTTATAACTCGAGTGTGTCAAAAACAGTGGGAAAACGATGCAACTTCCAAATTAGGGAGGATGGAGAACGGTATTGGAAACTAACTTTTCAGCAGGGCTCCAGAGTTCATACATATTTAAACTACAAACTGTACAAATGCAATAAAGATATCTAATTCTTCTGCAAACGGTCACGCCTACCCAGGCTAACTGGAACACAGATCATAACTGGAACCACAATTGCTGTTCTTCAAATAATGCGCTTGGGCTTCTTGAAAAGCTACAGCGTACAAACTCCAATACTGCTCCACAACCGCTTTTTAAAGCCTCCCCCAGAAATGCTCTCCCTTCAGCCTTGGCGCCTTACTGGATATGCCCTCCGTAGGTTTCCCCAGTCTCCGCCCTGGACGTCGGCCTCTGCACCCCGGGGCCAGTTTGGAGGGAGGACAGGCAGACGGGAGGGAGAGAGGAGAGCGAGCGAGCGAAATGGTCAAGTCCTCCTTAACTCCGGGCCCCCTCGCGGGCCTCACCCCTCCTCCCGGGGGCTGAGATTGGAGAGGAAGTGGGAAGGCTCCAATCTGTTCCTCACACCAGCGCCCTCATGCCCCCACCCTTCTCCTCAGCTCGGGGCTTCGGCGCGCCTCATCCTCGCCCCTCGCCCCGGGAGAGGGGCGGGCGGCGCGGCAGGGCTCGCGGAGAACGGCCGGCGGGAGCTGACGGCTTCCGCCCGGCACCAGGCGCCCGAAGCCACCCGCCCACCGGCGAGCCAGGCCCGAGGGCAGCCCCGGAGACCGCGGCGGCCGGATGCGCGGGTACGTCACTTCCGGGCGGTGCAGCGGCGGCCGCTTGGAAGATGGCTGCGCCCTGTGGCTCGGAGCTGCCCGCCAACTCGCCGCTAAAAATCCCGAAGATGGAGGTGCTCTCCCCGGCCTCTCCTGGTGGCCTGAGCGACGGAAATCCATCGCTGTCCGACCCTTCCACGCCTCGGGGTGCCTCCCCGCTCGGGCCAGGCAGTGCGGCGGGCTCGGGGGCAGCGGCGTCCGGGGGTCTCGGGCTGGGGCTGGGGGGCCGCAGCGCCGCCTCGTCCTCGGTCTCCTTCTCCCCTGGTGGCGGCGGTGGCGGGGCTGCGGCAGCCGCCGCCGCCGCCTGCCGGGGCATGTCGTGGACGCCGGCCGAGACGAACGCGCTCATCGCAGTGTGGGGCAACGAGCGGCTGGTGGAGGCGCGGTACCAGCAGCTGGAGGGAGCCGGCACGGTGTTCGGCAGCAAGGCCCCCGGGCCGGCCATGTACGAGCGCGTGTCCCGGGCCCTGGCCGAGCTGGGCTACGAGCGGACCCCATCCCAGTGCCGGGAGCGCATCAAGGTAACCGGCCGCCCGGCCTGGGGCAGCGAACCAGAGGCAGAGAGAAGGCGGGGAAGCGGGCCTCGGGGGCAGGGGCCGGTCTGAGCGCAGGGCTCCCCTCCGGGGCCCGGTGGGCGATTCGCATCTCCTCCGCCTTTTTCTTCTCTCCCTGGGAAGGGGGCTTTTTTCCAGATGGCCGCCAGCCCGTAGGTTTCCTGAGTTTGAAGTTGGGCGTGCCTGCCGCCGCCCCTCTTTCTTGCCAATTGAGGATGTTCCTGCGCTCTGAAGTTGGTAGTTTCTCATTGTGCGCCGTGCGGCAGTCCCCATGCCGCTGGCGCCTCTCGCCCCCACCGCCGGGGCCCCTCGCTTTGTTCCAGGCGGAGGGGCTCCCAGGCAGAGGCTTACCAGCCGGGGCGGGACTGAGGAAGAGCAGAAGAGAGGGGGCCGGTGAGCCCCCAGTTTAGGAATTTTCAAATGAGTGGCAGTGGCAGAGCTGTACAAAAAGCGCCTTCGGACGACTGGCCTTTGTGTCAGTCGCCTTGCTTCTAACTTGAGTTGCGAGGACAAGTAAGACTTAAGATGCTTTGGAGAATTGGAAAGGCTCGATGGTGGCCAGATAGTAGTGTGTCGATATCGTGGAGTTTGGTGCACAATTAAAGTTAGCCTGGCTAAGAGTTGGTCTGGAATTTGGAGTGGCGGTGCCTCTAGAGTTAGATTGGCTTGAGGCCCTTTTACGTTTCTGACTAAGCTCCTTCATGAAAGCCAGTTTTTCCCTGCTTTAGTTATTGTGCCCGATGTGGTGACTAGTAAAGCTCTCAGTGTGCATCTGGCTCTCCTTGTGTTATCTGAACGTTTAAATACAGAGGCTTAATTTGGGCTGGAAATTAGCACCAGCCTCGTTATTGTTTTGCTGTTTCTGCTGACTTTCAATCCAGGCGTTCAAATTTGTTTTATTGGCAGATATGGAGTTGTTTTTTAGGTAAGCTAGTTCCCTCATCATAGTGTCTCGTAGATTCTGGTAGGATTCTTCCTCCCAGTTTTCATTGAACCACTTCTTGTTCACAGTCATAGTACCTGTGCACTTCCTTTCTGGTAGGATGGCACTTTTACCTCAATTCCTTGGGGGTAAAACCCAGTAAGAACAATCATAAGCACAGTAAAGGAGGAGATTGCTCCAAAGTTCAAGAGATCTTGGCTCAAGTACTGTTCATCCTGGGACATTGTTGCTTAGAAAATTTGGTCCTAAGATATTTCAAACGTGTTAACTTTTGTTCAAGGAATTTGGCACCCATTTCTGAATTACAAAATTAAATTGGTTTACTTGATAACATGTACCTTTGGGTCTTCTTATGCCCCCCTCTTTTTTTTTTTTAAACAAAGATGTCATTAAAATAGTAGCTTATAGACAGGATTAAAGTAGTGGCTAATAGTAGGCTCTGCTCTTTTAATCCCATTCATTGTTCTATTCAAGGTCATTAAGGTTAAATTTTGGGGAGAGTTTTTGCACTGTACTGGTTAGCGTCTATCCATGAACTTCTCTTGACTTTAGAAGTGCACCTTAGGCATTTGTAACTGTTTTACCTTGATCGATTTTTGTCCATAGAAATTTCCCAATCAAAGAGAAAGTGTTGTGCTATCAAAACCTCACTGAATGTAAATCTCTCCATAAAATCGTTTCTCAAATGACCAAGAACTGTCTAGTTGGATTGCATCCTTGTCCAGTTATGAGAAGCATAACCTAAAGCAAGGAAAGGAGATTGAGCTTCTCTGAAGAATTTTTGAAAGAGGATCAGTTTACCTGTTTCCAGAGAAGACCAAACTGACCTCAAGCTCTTAGAGTATTTTGAGAATATGTACGTGATGATGATGGGCTCTCTGATCCACAGTAGCTGATGAAAAGGAGCGCAGATAATTGTTTGGATTTTTTTAAGTGCTCTGCTCAAGTGATTTCAACCAAGGAACCAAACTTCATAAACTGTGTTGGTCTTTCCTGCCAGAATTTAATCTCTGTAGAGACAAGTTCTGGTCTCTCCTATTTGCTACTGTATCTTCAGTGCCTAGCACATACTGGGCATTAGATACATATTTATTAAATTCACCAAATAAAGTCTAGAAGGAGAATTTTGGAAAGTATAAAAATCTAGAGCAGCGTTACTCAATCTGTAACCCAAAGACATAGATTCTGAATCCCAGTTTGAAAAATACTGCATTGAAAACTAAGCTCTCCCCCTCTAGGAGAATTTAGTATGAATGTTATCTTAAGCATGGAAGCAAATGTGATCACTGAAATCATAGCCTTTCACAGTTGTGAGGTGGATGTCCAAGTAATCCAGATTATGTTTATGAAAATAAAAACACAGCCTTACAAAATTCTCAGAGAATCCCAAACCCCTGAAAACAAATCTTTAGATCTCAGTTTCAGAAATGCCGATTAGAACAGATGAGTAATTCAGAGATCTCTTTCACTTTATTGTGTTGATAAGAACTGTAAGAAGAACTTCAGTAATCCTTTTTGCTTTAGATTTTACAAAATAGAAACAAAACAGTGCAGTAAGATATGGACTGTGAGGAAGTTCTTGTGTGGACTAATGTGGCTTACTTAAATGTGATCTCATGTCGGCGGCTCCCAGGGAAGGAACCCACCTTGTGCATCAGTTGTATTTCTGGTCTAATGTATTTAAAGATTCTATCAAAATTCAATTATGAAAACGCAGTAAATAATTTCTTTTAAGTTTGAATGGAGGGAAGAGAGATATATATAGTAACTTTGGTTTTTCCATGAAATTTTCCCTTAATCATAGTTTCAACTGTTGATGTAGCTGATTTCATTTCATTCCATGAGGGCATCAGAAAGCTGAGTCTTATCCCAGCCTCTTCCCTGACCACCTTCCTGAAAGACCTTAAAGCACATCACTTCCCTTCTCTGGACCGTGCCTCAGTCCTCTTTTTTATACAGTAAAAGTATTAAAATTGTACATATGGGAATTGAATTAATAACTCTTGGATTTTGCTACAAAGGCACTATTTTTAAATACTGTTCAAGTGAATATGTATATTTCTACACACACAGAATTTTAACATAAAGTCAGATATAAACATTTGTTTATTGCTGCAAAGAGTTTCATTTTCAAGTCTGACATGTCCTGTTACTCCATGTGCCTGAGACTGCCTTGCTACACAGATTATTGTTTGGTTCTGAAGTTTTGATGCTTTTTGTTTGTTTACCAGAAGAAAGTTTGTCCACCAGCAATTCCAGCCTAATTTTGGAGTCAGATAAACAAATAGGTGGTTTTCTGTCTGGTCATTCCATTCCCCTTTTCTATAGGCCTTTTCTCCATATCTCCATTCACCAAATACTCGAGTGTTTATTATGTGCAGGGCTGTCTGCTAGGTGTTTGGATGAATAAAAGAACTGTAATATACACTGCAAGAGCTAACAGTGAACATCAAAGAGTTAAAAAGCTGTACAAGACAACACAAGTGATGGTATGCAATGCATTACTTGATTAAGTGTCATGTGACTAAAGCAGACAATAAGTGTGATGACTTCAAAGGAGGGAGAGAGCTCATCACAGTCCATACTGTAGTAGTTGAAAGATCTATCTGAACGTGGAATTCATGAACACATTCACTTCTGAGCCAGATGCTGTATTCACACTTCAGTCAGTGAATCTGATGTACTGCAAAACTCCTTCTCACGTCCCATATTTTTGGGTGTTCTCCAGAAATTTGCCTCTTGAGAGTTGGCTAAAGCCAATGTCTTTCAAACAGATGTGTACTTCTAGCTCTGCCTCAAGATGAAATGAAATGCAAGGTGATCATATGACCTAAAAAACTTATTTTTGCCAGATCAGTGCTGGTTGCTCATCAGACAAATTTAAAAGTGATAGGGAGTCTTCTGCCTAGCAAACAAAATGGTTCATTTTTTAGGGACGTTGCTTAGATTTATTCATCAGTAATTGTCATAATCTTTGGAACAAATCTCGTCCTTTAGCAGACAAATCACAGTATAGTCTATTTGGTCTTTTATTTTGGCTATCAAGCTTTGTCAGTATTTGTTTGTGAGAACCAATAAGGCAAAGATAGCTTGGAGCCCAAAGATACCTTTGCCCCTCTGTAAGCATTTTAATAGACTCTGCCCATCTCTGAGGACTTCTCTCTGGGGTTTGCAGACAAGCCTTTCCCTCTGCCTTATTGTTGACAGATTTTCAAGAAATGTGGTATACCACGCAGATAGTTTGTAAGAAAGATTTAGTCAGATTTGTTTCCTTCCATTTTTTTCATACTTAGTTTCTGTTGTTCCCATGCCACTGTTACCCGCAAGCTTGTGCATTCTTGTTTGCTTGTCTACTTGTGAGTCTGACAGGGGCTTGATGTATATCCTCGAAGAATAGACCATCTTAGACTACTGACCATACGCTTATATTTAGGCTTTCAGTTTTGGAGGTAAGGGATCTAACAAACACATGTTAAAACTGTGAATGAATAGGCTTCTGAGTTTATTTCCTGGCATTTTGGAAAATCTAGTAAAGAGTGGAGTGAAATATTCTGGATCTTTCATTAAGAGGATATGTAAAAGGCAAAAAGAATTTAGAAAGCACATAGTACAAATAGTGCTGTTCCATAGAACTCTCTGCTGATGAAAATGGTCTATATCTACCACAGTTCAGTGAGATAGCCACCAGTCACATGGGGCTGTTCAGCCCTTGGAATGTGGCTAGTGTGCCTGAGGAACTGAATTTTTAATTATATTCCACTTTAGTTAATTTAATTTTAAATTATAAATTGCCACATGTGGTTAGTGGCTACCATATTGAACAGTGTAGGATGTAAGTTGTTATTCAGAGTATTAAAGAAGTCTTTATTTTGTGAAAGGATTTTCTTGGCTATACATTCATATCTCTAGGGGGAGCTCGAAGTTCCTTCTTGTCCTCCCTGTCACTTTACCCCTGAGTAGGAGCAACCTTGATAGAAGTCAAGAAAAATGATCTACCATTCTAGGAGGAGGAGCTTTTAGTGCAAGGAATACAATATTACAACTTTAGTTGGCTGGGGCAAACAGTGTCATCTTCTTGGTTGTCTCGGACAGAGCTGTCCAGTAGAACTTTCTGTGATGATACGAGTGTTCTGTTTCTGCACTGTCCAACAGCCACTGTGTAGTAGCCACTTGCCACAGGCGGCTATTGAGCACTTGAAATGTGGCTAGTGTGACTGTGAAACTGAATTTTTAATTTAAATTAATTTAGATTTAAATAGCCACATGTGGATAGTGGCTATGGTATTGGTCAGAACAGCTTTGGAATAAATAGTGTTCCAATTTTTTGCTTATATATTCCCAAAAGAGTTTTGAAATCCCTGTACTCTCTCAGAGATTTTTAAGCTGACATTAAAATTTTTTCGTCACATGTTTGAAAGTTTACAGGAAGTTAACAGGATATAGGAAATATTAAATCTAGTAAGAGATGAGTAAGATGAGGATTGCCTGTAAAATTTATTGAATAATGTACTATGAATCTGAAAAATCCACCCAAATTTTTATCTGTAGGTTTTATCAAATGTATTTTGAAAATGTTGATGATCAGACAGTATTCCACTTAGATTTAAAAGAAATAATATCACTAACCTGTATTGCTTTGGTTATTCTAAATTCAGGGGCCATGCTTCACACCTAAAAAATACAAGACTGGGAATGACAGTAATGCCTGAGGTTTTAGGGTGCCTTCATCAGTCATTATAGAAGGATTATGGGTACCCCAGTTGAAGACCAGTGCTTTAGATCTCTGAGCATCTTTTTGATTCCTTTCTTGGCTGATCTAGTGGGACTAGGCCCTTGAATTCCACTGCCCTTAGGAAATGGGAAAGATGTGGAACTTAATTCTTGACTAAAGTCCAAGCATGTGGGGGAGGATTTGGAGATCTTGCCCATTCCCTTGCATCAGATGAAACTGACAGATTCATCTCAGGGTTTCATTAAATACTAAAGTCCAAAGTAAGGACTTAATTTTTTTTATCACCAACAAATATTTGGGTGCCTCCTGCAGTAGGCCCTAAATAGAGCAGTGTACCATTTACTGTCAAGGTGTCCACCTTCCACTGAAGGAGTCAGGCTACTAAAGCACCAGTTGCAGTATCGTGAGCAAGGTCTGTGTATTGTGTTGATGGTAAGCTCATCGTGCTACAGGCACACACATGAAGGGCATGCCATCTTAGGCTTTCAGGAGGTGGATTCTGAAGGTGAAGTGGCATTGAATTGAGCAGAAGTGAGTAGAGATAGATGAGCAGTTGGGATAAAAGCCCAGAGGCAGCATAACCTAGAACGTTGCAAACTTCAAAGACAGTAAGATATATTTTGTCCAAGAATCCAAAACTGGAGGTGTCCAGTTAACGGCAGTTGTTCCAGAAAGTTTAAATGATCAGCTATTTAAAAAGTCATGCCTTTCAACTGAAGAACAATTTGCTATACTGCATGGCATTTGGTGAAGCTATGACTGTGAATGAATGGTTGGTGGTGTCATAAAGAACCAAGATAAAGGGCAGAGCAGATAGTTTTGGAATAACTAAACTAACTGTAGACATAATTCTAGATTATATCTATGTTTTGATAAATAACTTTTTGATGTTGAATTGTAGTTGTGCAAATATCCATTGTATATCTCATTTCTTAATTTACATACTGGAAAGAAAAACCAAAGCAATGCATCTTTTTGGACATACAAGAAGAAGAAATAGATTTTATCCTGTGGTCTAGTACTCACATAATGTATATATAACTGAAACAAATTTCACAAAATAATAATGATTATAGCTAACACTTACTATGTGCCATGCACTAAGTGCTTTACAAATATTAACTTATTTAATCCACATAATGACACTATACTTAATTATGTGCAGTACACTCTGATATGTTCTATTCTATTTGAATGCAGATTATGTGGCTCCAGAGCCTCTTGAGTAACACAAGCACAGCACGGGAAGCACCCAGCACGATGCCTGCACCTGGTAGGCCCTCTTTCTCCACCCCTCCCCACATCCTCCTTCTCCCCAGGACTTCTCAGCAGCGCCTCCCCTGTTCACCCCAGTCTCTCTGGTACCTCGGGTCTTTCCCCCACCCCAGCCACAGTGTCACTTGTCTCCACAAGTTCCCTCACCTAAAATTGGTGCAAAGAAAACCTGAGGGGATGGGGGTGGCCGCTCCCACTGGTACTGGGCAGCGGGCTTACTCCTTGGGGACTGGCAGCTCAGGGTCACGTTGGTCCCCACACGGGGCACGCCCAGGAGACGGCAGGATGGAGGAGCTGGAGGAACTGAGGGAGGGGAGACTGGTTAAAAACTCACCCCCAAGGGACCAACAGACCCCCCAGCCCCCTCCTCCCACACACATACCCTTCTGTTGCTCCATTTGCCCCTCCCCCAGGCTTTGCATCAGCCACTTGGGAGAGACCTGCCTGGCCTCCCATGGGGGTGGGGAGATATTGGAGAGGGTGTGCTTCTCACTTACCCAGCACATTGAGTTCTAAACTTTTGCTGCCATGGCCCCTCTCTTTGCCTTGACTGTCGTGCACGTTCACAGAACAGAGGTAGGACCCGGAGTCTTTCTCCTGGAGGCCCTGCAGCTGCAGTGACACATTCCGGGAGGGCATGGGGTAGACCAGGGATGCTCCAGGTTTGCTTGACAGGGTCCCACTGATGTACGCCAACACCTGGTGGGGCAGAACACCTCCCCGTTACTACCTGCCTGCACTGTGCCCGCAGATTAGCTAATCCCCCTCCTCCAAACTGGCAGTCTTCAAATGCCCCTCACCTGCACCCATCCCCTCTAACCTGTACCAGCCCCTCATTCACCCCGTCTTCCTAGTCACCCCCTCACCGCCCCAGGTCCTCTTCACCAGAACAGCTCTTGTTCCCTATACATTGTCTCTTCATCACCCACTTGCACTGTTTAGAAAGGTGGTCAACAACCCACTAAAACTGATTTCCCAACCCAGGAATGGGCAACCTGCAAGTAGATGAAAGACGATTAGAAGATACTGAGGTGAGATTGTTTTTTTCAATCATTGTGCTCTTTTTCTTTTAGACCTAAGGTATCAAAACTCCAGAAACATCATTAATTTGGAATGGGTCATGTCTCAGATATTCTGGTGAGGTGTTTTATACCATATAGTTCTAGATAGCTGGAGCCTAGGGTTTGAGGGAAGAGAGTCAAAGGAGGTGGGAAGTGGTAAGAAATGAGGCTTGGAGACATAAGCAGGAGGTCAGATGATGTGCTAAGGAGTTTGGACTTTGTCCCAATCATCAAAGAATTTTAAGCTGAGGGTTGACAGGGTTAGTCTTAAGTTCTAGAACTGGCTGTACTGTGGACAGTGAATTGGAAAGGGTAAGACTGGAAACACAAAGATCACTTAAAGGCTTCTTGCAGTAAGCTAGACAAAAGGCCAAACAGTGGCAGTGAAAATAGAGAGAAGAGAACAGATTTCAGAAACATCAAAATCAGTGGGGCTGTTTGGAGAATCTGAAAATTTTAATTTATAGGATTTATTAGATCTTAACCTGTCATACAACTCACTATGTACTTCTCTACCAATTTACGCAGAGGATTCTTTGTTGTGGCCCTCAAAGATCATCAGTAGTTCATAGCTTAAGTTTTTGGAGTTGGTTCTAGAACCCAGTGAGATCCAGCTAAAACCATTTTAGGACAGTCGTGTCTGTGTTATCTCTAGGATATACTCTGTACAGACTCTTGGATTCTGATCTGCTCTCCAGTCTTCAGGAATGATGATCCTGCCTTCTTTTTTTCTAACATTACCAGAGAGCAAGAACTAAAATTCAGATCTAAGGTTTCAAATGTTCATTGTCACACAGGCACTCTGAAGGATGCTCACATCACTAGGTTGAGGTGGGATAGGAGTTTTTTTCCCTTTTGGAAGGTTATATCTGTGTAATGTTTAACAAATGTTTCAAAATGGGAGAAAAAACTTCTTGAGTTTCAAAAACAAAGACCAGTACTATAAAGAGCTTTAACTTTTAAACAACTGATTGTTAGGATTGCTGTGATTATTTATTTCTGTTCTGGGGTTCATGCAGTGTGTTCTTCTGCCTACTATTTACCATTGCAAAAACTTTATTCAGTGTTGAAAAATGAATGCTTAATAAATCTGTGCCTTATATGCATATGTTACAAATTATCTGGAGTTTGTAATCTATGCAGAGTCTTCCCCATCTAATTGTTCTGAATAATTGAAAAATGTCTGCATATTGGAAAAAGGCATGTGTTTTAATCTGTATTATTCTTACCTATTTGAGTTAAGAGAGTTCTTGAGAGCCAATGGAAAAACTTTTTTTTTCTTGGCACTAATCAAGTGAGTGTTATTTTGTCACTTAGAGATGCATGTTGTTATTCTTTAGTAAGATACAAACCTCTGTTTATTCTCAGCCATCATTTTAGGAATAACAGCCATCATTTTCATATATGTGTTCTTGGCTGTATTCATAAATTACATATTTTGAGTTTCCAAATAATATTTCCTTCAATATAAATTGATACAGTAGAATGGTAGTTATTTACTTAGGTATGTTTCCTAGTTACATTTTCTCAGCCTTTGTAAGACTGCTTTGTTGTAATAGCCTGAATTTTTGAAACTCACAGTATTGTTTCTCTACTATCTACCTTCACATTGCTTCATTTATCCAAATAAGTCAACTATGTTTGTAATTGATATTAATAAAACCAGAATAAAGTTCATATCTACCAAAAACTGCTTTTATTATTATTATTTTAAATTTACAAATGCTTTTCTGTAAATGGAAAGAGCTTGTTTATGATTTAGAAAGAAAAGTATGATAGGTCAAAAAGTCCCTCAACCTTTTATTGATCTCTCAACTGCCATAGACAACCTTAAGGAAGTTTTATTCATTTATCCACTCATTCAGCAAAAGTCTGTTGAGCTGCTTCTGCATGCTAGGCATTGATTTAGGTGCTGGGAATACATCAGTGAACAAAACTGAAAAAACCCCCTGCCTTCAAGGAGCTTAGATTTTGGTAGAAAACAATATGATCTTTAAAATATGTAATTTAGGGGGCTGGCCTCTCCTGGCCTAGTGGTTAAGTTCGGCGTGCTCTGCTTAGGCAGCCTGGGTTTGTTTCCTGTGCGTGAACCTACACCACTCATCGGTGGCCATGCAGTGGTGGCAACCCACATACAAAATAGAGGAAGATTGGCATAGATGTTAGTTCAGGGCAAATCTTGCTCAGCCAAAAAAAATTTTTTTAAATAAATAAAATATGTAATTCAAAACAATTAACACAGTTAGAAAGAAAAGCCTCAAATATGATATTCCTTGATATCAGCCTTATTGACCTCAAAGTTTGAGGTTTCTACCTTTCATTATGAATTAAGAAATAGAAATTCATTTGCCTTTGCTTTATTAAGAATGATTTACATGATTTTATAGTATGCCTTTTTATTGTGATATGTCCACTTGTCACTGAGGTTTGCCCCACCAAGCAGCAAAGTACAACATTGTTAGCATTCATTCAGTCATTAGATAATGAGCACCCCTGTGCTGGGTCCTGAGGTTCAGCCTTCAGCAAAACCAGGTAATGTCTCTTCTCGCTCATGCAAGTTAGGAAACATGGTTAATAGTTGGACTTTGAGAGATCAGAGTTGTGCCAATTTTAGAACAGCATAAAATATTCTTTATATAAGTAATATAAACCACGTTAAAAAATTAAGACAAAAAGTCAAGAGAAAAATGTTAACTTCTTCACTGTAGCATAAGCACATATGCATGAAATGTTATTTTTCAAGAAGTGATGGTGAATCTGATTTTAATTCCTGTAAATTTACATGCGCCAAAAAAGGAATGAGAGATCTATGTGCTTTCTGTTCTTTTGAACTCTAAGAAAATATATATGTCATTACTCCTCCTTATTTGATTCATGCTGAGTTTTGCCTGCCTCCTGCTTTTTGTGAACAGGTAGCCCAGCCAGTGGGGCCTACTCCTCACTCTGGACTGTAGTTAGGGAACCTTTCTTCCGGCTTCATTTATATGTTAGGGTGTTAGTCCCCATATTCTTGCCAAGACTGAACCTTTGGAAATGCTCAAATGATTGGCTTTTATCTATAAAAGAGGAAATATGAGCACAAAGTTGAAGAAGCTATGATGATGTAGCCAGGTGTTTCTGAAACTTGAGGAATGTGCGGGCAAAAACATGTTCATGTAACAATGTTACTAAATATGCAACAAACCTAAATGTAGGTGTAAAGTCCTTTTACTTATAGATCTCACGTATTATCAAACAAAAACTTTATAAAACACTTTAAGTACTAATAAAACTAAAAGTCAAAAAAATCAAGCTAGCATTCCTTTATGGGATGATGTGGCTTAGCTGAAACTTACTTGCCTTTCCAAAGGAGGTTCTGATACTGGCTGCTGCAGTGAGGTTCTTTTGAATTTGTTGTTCCTACTGTGTGCTTTGTGATAAAACTGTGCTGCTACTTTTTCTCTACTTGGACTAACCTGTATACATAAGGCAGCTTGCTCTCCATATGGTGCCACTCTTACTGTTTTTGTAATAATAATAATGGCTAACATTTACTGAGTTCCACCTATTAGGTGGACACTGTTTTAAATGCTCTACTTGTACTTTTTCATTTAACACAACAAATCTGTGATGAGGTACTGTTAGTAGCCTCACCCTACAGATGGAGAAATTGAGGCACAGTGAGATTAATTTGTCTAATGTCACAAAGCTAGCAGGTGGTGAAGCTAGATTAAGCAGTGTGGCTCCATGCTTTTAACCACTTGGTTATATTGCCCCTTTATGAATCATCAGCTCACCTTTATTAAATTTTGACAATTGAAGTGATATTTTGGCAACAGGGTGATCATAAACAGTCATAAATGCAATACTAAAATCACAGAGCAACACCCAGATGGACATCATTATGCTCATACATGTTTCTTATCATAGAAATAAACACAAATTTTAAAAATTCTTGCAGATAATTCATGGTGTCCTAAGTTTATAAACATAATGAGAAACATTGATTTGGAAGTCCCAAGGAGGAATTTAAAACATGTTGAAACATAAATAAAGCTTTTGTTGTAGAATAATCATTGTTATCCATTCAAGTCTTTATATAAATGATTATATTTATTGGACTACCAACTCCCCTTAAAGGAAGTAAGGAGAAACATTACAAAGTAGAATTACTTTTTGACAGTAAAAGCAGGTAATGATGTGGCTTACCAAAGGAGACCATGGAATGTCCACTACCTTATGCCTGCCATTGTCCACCTGATGTCTAAATGGTTTGGGTACTCTTCTTTTTAGAGGTGATGGGGATGAGATAGACTGTTTTATAATATATAATATAAATATACCAAAAAGTGTATATGCATGTGAAGAAAGCTAAAAATAGAACCAGAAAATAAGAAGTCAGAGAGTGCAAGGAGTATAGCAGTAACCCAGGTAAATACGGTTACCTCAGCTATATATTAAAATGAGCTATGAATTTCCCAGCAATTATGGCAAAAAGGTAAATACAGTGACTTTCTATGCTTTTCAATGTCTCTGAAGAGAAGCATACAGCATCCTACTTTTGCAACCTAAGATGAATTTAAAGATCCTCTGATAGTGAGCTTGGATAAGCTGTTGACTTTCTCTTAGTTGTCTTTTCTGTTAAATAGGGATACCCACATGCCTTCCCTATATATGTGCTGCACTGCCAAGACCCCTCCTCCAGGAGAGAGACATGGTCCCCCCAGCTGACCGGAGCACTGATTGATGAGGCTTCTGGTTGAATTCCTCCCAAGAATTTCCTTTTGCCCAAGGGAGCTGTCTACCCCCAGGCTAGGCCCCCTCTCTGGTGGCAGCCTGAAGCCAGTCACTGGTCAGTGCCGAAATACAAAGTACAGCCCCCTTGCTTCAATTCAGGACAGCTCTGAGGGGTCATCCAAGTTCCTTTAGGATTAGCCGAGGGCTTTGCTACAACTATGTCTGTCTTCAACTTTCTCTGCCCGGTCCTGCTCAGTCTTTGTCAGGTGGTGTTCTCAAGAGCCCTTCCCAGTAAACCTGCACACGGTCTCCTCAGAGTCTGTATCCTGAGACCCTCTCTTTTAGGATTATTGTAAAAATTGGGAATAATAAATGTAAACTGCTAACCCAGATCTCAGTGCACAGTAGGCATTGAGGAAATGGTCGTTGTGGTTCACTTCATACATGGATGTTGAGCTGCATATGGAAAATGTTTGATTTTTGTAAAAGGTACAGACTTTTTCATGTGGCCATTGCTTTTAGCAATCCTCATAAAGGTAAGAATAAAATACAAAAATTCTATCAAATGAGCTATAAAAAGTGTTATCACCTGGATTTCTTTCTAACAACTTCCTCAATAAATTCAGTTTCCCAAGGACAGATGCTTAAACTTAAAACATGTTATTTTCAGGTTTTTCAATAAAAGGGTATGTGTCAGGATATGAGGGTGTATTCTTTTCATGCACTTAGACCTGTAGTTTATACCATGTAAATGCAAAAAAACCCACACTTTTTGAAGTAATTCAGTATTTACCATTTTTTAACAATTGACTGAATCTTGACTTAATGCTTGTACCCAGATATCTCGATGGAGGATTTTTAATAACCTTACTTTTTTGATGATTTATCTAGATGTCAAGATTATTTCTTTTTTTCACAACCAAATATGTAAAATTTGCTAATGGAAAAAATCTGTATTATAGGTTACCTTTGCATTATAGATGGTAGTTTTTAGTAAGAAAATAACTGCAAAACTGAGAGAATCATATGGTCAACATATGAAAGAAAGAAAATGGCCATCAATTTCAGGAGGGAAAACCTGCCCTGCGGTTTCCCTCTTAAGCATTGGTCTCATGAATAGAAGAAAGTGCCTTTGTGTTGGGTAAGCAATACAATGTTGTTAACAATAAAGCTGTTTGAGGTTGTTTGGTAATGTGTGTGTGTGTGTGTATACATGTGTAGTTCTTAATTTTTAGACATGGTTTATTATGGAACAATTAGTGTGTAATGCAAGGTGTTTTTGTATGGGAGGGCTTTAAAGATAAATGATTCTGCTCTGCTGTCCTAGAAATATTTTAGATAATTCTCTAGAATGTGTTTTTTTTAGTTACTACATATACGGTGCCCCAGGTTATGAAGTACTGAGAAAAAGATTGGAGAGAGCTGCCAACGTAGCAACTTGAGAGGTGAAGTAGGAGTCAGATGAAAATAACCTCTAATCCAAGTCAGTTCTTTACCAAACAACTGATTGTTTTCCCCTTTTAGGTGGGGAGGAAGTTCTAGGCAAATAGTGTTATCTATCTTTGATGACTAATTTCTGTTGCTGCTTATGTCTGAAATAGTTAAGTAGTTCAGTATACCCTGATTTTTTGACCTGTCTTGTACTAAATAGAGAAGCACTTGAGGATTCCATGTCTAGAAGGATTCTTGTATCCCAAAGAAGTCCTTAAACATGACCACGCATACTAGGTATGGCTTTTATAATGTTACTGCCAAGATGAGATGTTGTGTGAGTAGCCATATGATTTACCTACAGTGTAGGGTTAAAGGCTTTATGGTCACATGAATATAGTTCCTTGAGCAATGGAAGATGTGGGGGTTTTGGTTTTTTTTGTTTTTTTTTTACAATTAGTGTTCTCCTCCTTGAGGGTTTTTTCTTCCTAATCTGAATGGGCAAGACCTTCAGCTGCTAGCATGGAGGAACCTACAAAATTTAGGCATTGACACTCACTGAGAATCAAAATTTCTTGAATTATTTGTTCTTTGCAAGAATTTTTCCCTCATGAAGACAGTACTGACCAGTTATAGACAGAAAAGTGAGTCGTTGATAGCCAGGTTCGGAATGAAGTGCCAGCTAATAGGATTCAGCCCTGGACAGTCCCCACAGAGACTGAGGCTGCCGAGAGGTAAGATCTCTTGGTTTCTGGTGGTCATTCTTCTGTTTGACCCTATTAAAATTCAGGGAACAATTGAGGCTTTTTCCTTTTCTATCTTTGACAGAACTACTTTGTATTCTTGAATATTTTATTTAGTTTGTAAGGCATAAGAAATACTAAAATTTGGGTGGGGCTGCAGAGTTGCATTTGGCAGGTGACCCCTCCCCTGCAAAGAAAAATGTAACAAGGTTAGATGTTTTAAAAATAGCCTTGCCCTCTACAGCTAGGCCTCCTTTGTTGCAAAGAAATTAATTTGCTTTGCTAATTGTAGCTGTATCTGTTTTATACCCTATTCTGCTCCTGCTTTTTTCAAAAGGTTGTAGGAGCCCTACCTACCTTGGATTCGTTGATTTATAAATATAATCGACTATTGTGATTGAATGATGAGTTTCCGGATTTTCTTTGCTAAGAAAAATTTGATCTTCTTGCTAGTAATTTACTACTTCGAAATTACCTTAATTCATTTACCTAATAAATATACTTTGAACAATCCTAACATGATAGGCACTGTTCTGGACTCAGAAAACAGTGAACAAGACAGGCCTAATGCCTACCTCATGGAGTTTACAATCTAGTGGAATGGCTCCCTTAGGAAACACTTTGTGAATGGCATTTGGTAATTTTTAGATGCCATATCCCTTTGGAAGAAGTACTTGTCTTGGGTCCTTGGCTCCTCATTTTTTAAGTGAGGAAGTTGGACTAGATAATCTCTAAGGTTCCTTTCCTTTCAAAACTTTTATTATGTTTTGAAAGTTGGAACTTTATTCGCCGTTAAAGCCTTGGGCAGCTCTACCCCCTCCTGTCAATCAGTATTTATAGAAAGTTATATTAAAGATATATTTGACAAAGATAGAGACACAGATAGGTAATGAATACTATCAAGTGCTGCAGGATTGTCAAATGAGTTAAGGACAAAGTTTGAAGACCATTCTTCTTAGTAATTAAGAACATAGTGCTTACCATAATATGAACGGTTTCAGCAGATTAATAGAGCAGACTTTGATCCCATTGGGTTAAAGACTGAATTAGTGGTGCTAGCCAGTGGCGTAGTGGTAAAGTTTGCGCACTCCGCTTTGGTGGTTTGGGTTCGTGGGTTTGCATCCTGGGTGCGGACCCACACACCGCTCCTCAAGCCACACTGTGGCGGCGTCCCACATAGAAAATGGAGGAAGACCAGCACAGATGTTAGCTCAGTGACAATCTTCCTCAAGCAAAAAGAGAATCGAAGATTGGCAACAGATGTTAGCTCAGCCAATCTTCCTCACCAAAAATAGAAATAAATAAAAAGGATTGAATTAGTGTAGACATTGCCTATTCCTCTGAGACCTTTTAGTCTTTAGACAGTGTTAAAATGTAAGATGTTAAATCTTAGCCTTTGTGACTACTAAGGAATGTAGTCAAGACTTACTTTCCTATACTTGTTTCTAGATGTGTGAATTTCCCTGTTCTCAGTTGTTACTTTAGGTAATTTATCTAGCATCTATATCGATAAGTTAATCAGATAATGATTGATCAAGTACTATGTGATACAATTGGAACAGATAATCAGCATAATTTATGAATTGTTTAATATTGCTTAATTGCCACTTTAGAAAAAGATTTCTTCCCCAGCAGGTGGGAAAAAGTGCTATATTTTTGTGAAGGGTAAATGGATATCTTTCTATGCTTTTACTGATAGAAGTTGTTCCTTTCAAGAAACAGGGGTATTTGGCTAATTTGCCTCTTAAAGGAAGTACTAATGCTGCTTTATCTCAATGAGCAGGACATTGAGCAGTCTGGACAAATTGTACTTAGACTGGCTTGTCCCAATCTGTAGAATCTCTTGTAAAACCTAAGACAAATTAAATCCACCTTATTTTAGGTTTTCTGACTAATACTTGTTACATTCTTTTATGTAATAAACAACCTCATGGTATAGAGCAGTTTTTTCACTCGAGGTTCTTATGTGGGCCTTTCAGAGAGTTCCTGTTCCCTTTGAAATTGTATTGAACAGTTTTGTATGTGCATTTTTCCAGGGAGGGGATCCATGACTCAAATAAGTGAAGAACCTCTATTGTGGAGAGGAAAAGGAAAAGGAAAATTTAAGAATAAAATGATCTTTCACCTGCCAAAACTTCCTGTAGCTCCAAGAACTGGGCGGGGGAGGGGGTGTTGTGAAGCAAGTGCTGTCTTTTTTCATTTTTGGGGTTTTTGTTTGGTTGGTTTTAAAGGATTGAGGTGATTGGCAAGTCAGTTTGCCAGATTTTAATATATAGAAAATCTAAAAGTTCTGCTGGCCCCAGATGGATTTTGCCTTAGGTGACTTCCTAATCTTTAGTTACAGTTCTGTGTCAAGAGTTTATATAGAGTAATTTATACTATATTCTTAACATCCCTCTTACTGTGTGCAGAAATGTGTTTATTTATTTAATTTCTGCTTTTTCAGGGTTTTTTCTTTCCTACCTTTGGTGCTCACAGTAAGAAAATAAAACTAATTAAAGAAATTTTGAGTCTTTCTTAAAGATATTGAAATAGACTCTGTTTTTTCACCTCAATTAACTAAGAGCAACTAGTTTGTAATAGTTACAATAGTTTAAAGGAAGAAAATAGATCTCTTTCACAAAGACTTTTTTTGCTTCACAATACACAGCTGCTTAGACTGAGGTATTGTTTTTAACACTTTAATAAACAATCAGTCACTGGAGACTTGCTCCCAGTGTAATTTTCCCTATCTCTTGTGGAATATAAAATATGATTTTTGAGACTTCGTTTGCAAATAAGTGTATTTTTTATTTAATCATTTGGGTTAAAAGGATCTCAAATTCACCATATTTAGTTGGCAGAGGGTTGAGATAAACTATATAATCCATTTCTAGTATGGCCATTTTGACAACTACATTTGAAAATCTGTTTCACTGCTTGTTTTTTCTTGTAACATTGTTTCCTGCTGTTGTAACTAAGCTGTCCTCCATGCAGTGTGACTTCATTTTTCCCCTGACATCTTAGACTGATCATGCCAGTGTTTTCTTAACACATTTATATAGCTATTATGCCTTATTTCTATTCCTCTTTATTATATACCCTGTTCCACCTGCAGTCCGTTCTGTTAGAACAATGGTTTTGTCCTGGTGATTATTTTATGACTGTGTTAAATGGGGCAAATTTTGAGAAAATGCTTGAGCCAGTAGCACAATTTGTTGGCATATGTCCATATGATTTATTTAGTTTGCTTCCTACTTTGCTATACCAGGGAAGAATTCAATTCTTCCCACTTCCCGAAAGTCAAAGGAGGGACTAGAGGACACTGAAGCAAAAGAAATCTTTTTACCCCAGAAGTAGCTTATATAATGTCAGGAAGGGCTTTGATGAAACCACTGGCCCTACTTATAGATCTTATTTTCCAAGCCTTTCATTATTTTATTTGCCCTTTTCTGAACTCTACAATTTCCCTCTCTTGTAGCTGGTTCGATGCCCAGAACTGAATGCTGTGCTCCAGCTGTGGCCTCACCGGTGCTGAATAGAGAGGAAGAGCCACCTTCATAGCTTACATGTGATTCCTCTGCTTATACAACCCAATACTGGATTTACTTACTTTGGCAAGATAGCTGCATTGTGCACTGTATTTAATGTTACGTGTACTGTAATCCTGGGTCTTTCTCTGCATTGCTGCCGTTAAACCCCCAATCCTGCCAATCTAAAACTCCTGCCTTTGTTTACCTGCCCTCCTCCCCCGTAGAACCCCCTTACATTCATCCACAATGAATGTCATCTTTATTCTCTCATTTCCTTTCACTCTAATCTTAAACTTTGGCAAAACTTTCCCTGTGTCTATAAATTGTCAGTTGTCAGCCATCTTATTTTTCTCCCTGCTTTGGTAATGGGATGTCTTTCAAGTCTTTTCTCTGGTTCTCTGCCTTTTAAACACTTAGTCGTTAAACACTTGGCACGGTGGATTTAGTAAGCATTCACTTGGCATTTCTTCCAAATCAAATACCTATGAACTCCTCCAATTTGACCACCCGGTCAAGTTGTTTCCTATACTTTAGTTCTTCTATCCAGATTATCTGGACTCTCCTGACTTCTGTCCCTATGACTTCATTCAAGATATAGTACTATGTCATAGTTCTTCCCCAGGGAGGAGACAGTAATATTCATTTGCCATGGGAATGTCTAACAATAAGGAAAGTATTGTTCTTCTTAATTGTGAATAGAATAGTCTTTAATAATATTAAACAAATTCTTTCCTCCCAATATCTTAATTTTTAAAAAAATGCTAGAACTTATGTTATATAAATTTCTAAGATGAGTGAGGTAAAGGAAGAAGGAAGGGAAGCAACGTTTTTGTGTTGAATAGGAAATGGTTCTCCAAGAAAGCTAAATAGAGGTTCTTGTTGGGTTTGAACAAGAACCTGTCTGAAACGGGAGATGAGACTTCGTTTTCCCTAGATTCTGGAGCATTATTATCTTAATCTCAGATTGAGAGTAGGCTTTAAAGTTGCTTTATTTAGGACTGTTAACACAGTCATACAATCATTTAATTGTTTGCTTTGGTTAATCATTTGGAGTGTGGAAAGTGTAACCTTTTCTGATTTATTATGAGTGATAAGAATTGGAAGGTCTCCCTTGTCCTTTTTATCCATTTCTAAAGTCCCTCTAGTTTAACTAAATCCCAGTGTTTCTTATAGTAGCAGTCAAGCTGATGTTTGAGTTCTTCCCTTTTTTTTAGTTGATGTGTCCTATTTAAACAGCCTTCGCTTAGGTCTTTACTGAACCAAGAAGTTACCTTTTATGTATATTTATGTCTTGAGAGAGTTAAAATCAATTTGGAAATCTTTTTAATATTATTTCAATACATCAGATTCCTATCATATGGATTTAGGAGTTAGCAAACATTTTTCCTCAGACCCCTAATAGATATTTTACATATCAACATATTACACGATTAAAGTGTATTACAAAGTCAGAGGTGGCAAGATCTGTTAGGCTTTCTCGATGAAATATAAAATATATCATCTGACTATTCTTTCATATCTAAAACCATTAGATATTGCTAGTTTCCGTATTCACAATTACATAAGCCAAGTGAAATTTTAAGCTCAATTTGGTGCTTTCAAAGAAAGTAAATCTTTTCTGTGGTTTCCCACCATGTATATTGTCAAAGGTTGGTGGCTTTGCTTATGCCTATGTCACATCCTGATAAGTGTGGCACCTTTCTTCAAAGGAACAATAGTTTTATTCCTTGACTTTTGAAATAACCTTCGGTGACAGAACCGACTAGGCTCTTCTGTGCTGAATACTTTTCTCTAGGCAGCCAGTACATAGTAAGCAGTGGCATGGTTTCCATCTCCATTTATGGCCTTGGAAGGGTGAAAGGGACATGGCTGGGACTCTCCATTTATGGTCCTTAGAGGAGTTGAAAAGAGTGGTTGGGGTGTTCTTGGAGGCAGAAACTAGATATTGTGAGATAAAAATAAGTTGGTAGGAGATGTTTGCAATTCAAATTCCTATCCCTGCGAGGAGGGCAGAGGGCACTGGGAAGGGGGAGTATTTATGCAGAAAGTCAAATGAGATCTGCTGCAGGCATTTGTCGCCTTCCATTGGAAGGGTTGTCCATGACACATTTCCCAAGTTCATTTCTGATTTGTTCTAGAAAGTTCTGTGTTATATAGTTGTGACTGTCCTTTACAAAGAGAAAGACGGAACACGTTTAAAGAGTGTATTATCAGTTCTTTAAGGCATCATTTGAGGCAGCAGAAGAGTTCTCAAGAAAGGGAGAATGAGGCAGGTGCTTCTGCAGGGGGTAGGCTGGCTGGTTTTAAGACGGTTTATGACTCTAATCATTATTTATGTCTGAGGAATATCATCTTATGTGTTACGCTTTTATTATTCCTTTTTGCCCATCTGGATTTCTGGCCTCAAGGGACAGATCTGCAGAGTATTTGACAGAGTGCCTTGTAGTTTGTCAACTGTGATTTAAAGATACTGAACTTTCATGGAGGCTTTATAAAGATTATTAAGAGTTGTTTTAGTTTGGTGAGAAAAGGTGATATATTGGCTTCTGGAGAGTAATTTCACATTTAGGAGAAATTTGTAATCTGGCTAATGTGTATAAATTAAGTATGAGGTGAACTGGTTTTGCACAGTTGAGTTTTGGAACTACCAGGGAGAAAGGGTCTTGTCTCAAAAAAATTCTCAGAGTGAAGCCCAGTAAAGTAGAAGGGAGTCAGAGGAGAGAGACTGAATGTAACTAAACTGAATTTGGAAGCTGGGACTAAGTCCTTGATTTGTGTTTGGAATATCATATAAGATATGCCAATAAACTAAGGAAACTGGGCTAATAATCAGAAATATGCATTAGCTGACCATGAAGAGAATTGAAGTGTTGTGCAAGATAATAAAATTATCTAGGTTTTATCTGCAGACTTGCATAATGATATTTATTTGCTGTGCCATGAAGCAGAAAAAGAAGTGAAATACCACCCTTCCACCTCACTTTCCCTCAAAAAAAGAAATCATTGGCCTCATTTATTGAGTTGTTTAGCTGGAAGTTTGAGTTGGCAGAATAGCCTAGTATTAGTGGCTAATTTTTAGACATAGGTATTAGTGTATTGTTTCTTGATAATTGACGTTTGAGGATGGGAATTGGTAGCATTATTGATTTGACCTCTTTTAAATTTTAGCAACTTCCCCAAAGACAGAGTGAGTTAGTACAGAATATGAACTATGGAAGTAATATGTTTTACTAGCTAATTCGTTTAGGTAATTTTTTTTTACCCTGTATTCCTTCTTAATCAATAGTGAGGAAGGTTATATTCTTTGCTTTGGGAAATTCTTCTTTCTGTCCTCTCTCCCCCTCACTTTTTCCAAATTCTGGGCACAATAGCAGCTCTTTCTCTTCTGTGGTAGGTGTGCATCCTATTGGCTGGCTGGTATTTCTTGTTTTCTTTTTTTTTCTTATTCTTTTTAAAAGGGGGTGGGGGTATAAAAATATGTGTATGGGGTACATGCAATAATGTTGTAATGTTTCTTGTTGTTTAATGGATAATTAATTGCCAAATAATTGTTTGAATTATAACATGTTTGAGTAAATGCTAAATTAGTATTTTTTTCCTAATATAATAATGAATTTGAAATCTAGCATTCCTGTAACAATGTGTCTATGTTTGTCTGTCTGTGTCTGTCTAATAGTAATTAATGTCTGTGGTCCGTACCTGGAAGAGGAAGTACAGCTTTAAAGGAATAACAAAAGACTTTGTGTCTTAGACCCTTCGCAGGTGTTACAGTCGGGTGAAAGAACATGGTGTTGGGAAAAGAAAGAGCAGTTACACATTTGAACAGTTGGAACAGGTGTTTGGTCAGGGAGGATGGGATGCTCAGCCCTGCCAGCCTGTACTTATTAACAGTAGTGGCTTGTACCAGGAGCTGGAGTCAGATGGCAGCACTATGGAGGAGTATTCACAGGAGGACTGGGGAAACCACAGTCAGGAGCTCCATGGCTATCCCACAGATCAGGAATTGGGTAAGAAAGCTAATATATATGATACTTATCTGTGTGTGTGTGTATGTACCTTTATATATGCACCAGTACTTAATATCTCAAATATCTTTTGATACTGTTCCCACTGTCAGCAAAAGCCGTATAGCCAGTGTCTTTGGGGCAATTTGGGCGTCCTTGGCTTAGCCTTAAACTGTCAACTAGTGCTTGGTGTTGGTCATTTGGTGATTTGGGTAGCAGCAAAATTCCTAAAGACTCAGAAGAATTCCTAATTCTGAGCTACACAAGAAGCTCAGGGACAGGTAGACTCCTATGCAATTTTAAATATCCTGCACCTCCTAGTTCTAAAATGACTGCCGAGAGTATTGACTCTTGGATCAACTGCTATAGATGTAAATACCTTTTCCTTCCTTTATTCCAAATACTTTTTCTTTTCTGTTTGTGATTTGGAAAAGGTGTACCCCCAGACTTTATTCTGAACAAAAAATGAAGGGAAGCCTCAGTTTATCTTGCTAAGAGCTGGTATTTGAATTTTATCAGTGATCATACTCCTTCAAACCTCAAAAGGGATCCCATCCCAACAGTAGCTGGAATGATTTATGCATAGTCTTAGCATTAAAAATGAAAAGAAAACTCCTGCCATCAAATCTAAACTTGTGTGGCTTAATTAAGAGGGCATATGTGGTTGCTTTTTTGTTTCTTTTTGCAGTAAATGCTCCACTTTTGATTTTCATAATTTGGAAGTACGAATCAAGTGTCTGCTGCGGTCACTGTGCATTAATAGCAAGTGTATGACAGTGCTCACTTACCAGTAGATGTTCTGGGTCCCCAGGGAGGTACTCAGGCAACCTCCAAGGAATAAGTAGGACTGGCACTGTAAATGTGCTTCCTTAGCTTAAGATAATGTCCATGGGCAGAATTTATAGAATTCCTGATGACAGAGAAAAAGGATTAAAAGGTAATATTTCTTAGGACTGCTGTTTTAAAAAAGAATCTCAAATATTGGGAGAGAGACAGAAGAAAGAGGCTATAAAACTGTAAGGCTAACACAATATAAGAGACAGACTTAAAGACTGGAAGAATAAAAAGGACAGATGCTCAGTGATCACTGCCTATTAATTTCAAAACAGTAATAAGGTCTAAATTACATTGGCATCCCATAACTCTGGTTTTAACCGTAGAGAGTTAAGTCACCCAAACTTGGGAAAAAAATAACACGCGGAGTATATTGATCCTGATTTGGGGGGAATATTTGCTCTGTAAAACCTACATAGAAAACCTAAATAGGACAGAATTATTTTCATTCTTGTTCCTTTAAAAACCCATGTTTGCAGTGAAATTAAGCTTTAAGCTCCCAGCTAGAAATCCGCTGGTGACCTTGAAGAATTTTATACTTGTAGAGCTTGTTTCTGATTGTGCATATAAATGTATGCATCTCATTATATGAGAGTAATATTTATAAGTCTGGCATTGGACAAGGTTTGACACTAGAATTACGGCCTCACGTTGGAAAGTATGGAATGAACAGTAAACATTACTTATCTACATAAGTGTATGCCACCACTTAGGAAAATATAACTTGTTTCAAAAAACTTTGCTTTTCAGATGATATACCTGTCACAAAGAGAACATTAAAAATAAAACAAGAGTCTTCTGAAGAAGCACAGTAAGTAGATACTTCACTTTTCTAGAGTGTATTTATCGGAGTTTAATGACCATTGGGAAGGTCCAGAAGTCATTGCTGTAATTAGACATGCTGTGGGAGTTAGAGCCATGCCACTCAGGGAGCACGTCTAGTCATTCTCATCTTCTTAGCTTAAGTTTTCTAGTGGTTAGTCTAAAATGTATATAACAAGAAGAAATAAATGTGTTACATGAAAATAAGCCTGTTTATAGTGTTTGCCTGTGTGTGAATGTGGATATCTGGATGTTTAAACAAGATACAAAGATGAGCTACAGGCCCCTGAGTTTATCTGCAGTTAGGTGAAATGACCGGAGGGCCAAAGGGACACTTAAATTCCTTATAATATTACGTTTTTGGAATTAAAAAGCAAGCTCTTCGATGACCCATTTATACATTTAGAAAAGGAAGCAGTTGCTGGAGGAAAGACTACGGAAGTCCAGGGCCAGGGTCTTTCCACTGACTCATATCGCCTGATCTTCCCCCAACAGTTCAACCTTACTCTTTTGTAAGAACATCACAGTTCTCTGAGTTACCAGTGATCGTGTGTTTGCGGTTCTTTTAAATAACTTTAAGTGAGTCCCTGATTAAATTTAATTACTGAAGAGAATATATTAAAAGATAAATTTAGGGGCCGGCCCGGTGGTGCAGCGATTAAGTGCACATGTTCCACTTTGGTGGCCCCAGGTTTGCTGGTTCGGATCCTAGGTGTGGACATGGCATCGCTTGGGAAGCCTAGCTGTGGTAGGCGGCCCACGTATAAAGTAGAGGAAGATGGGCATGGATGTTAGCTCGGGGCCAGTCTTCCTCAGCAAGAGGAGGATTGGCAGCAGATGTTAGCTCAGGGCTGATCTTCCTCAGGGGAAAAAAAAATTTTAGGGGTAAAGTGAAAAACAGCTTTTTTTTTTAGCTGGTAACCTTGTAGTATTCATAACCCCAGTTGCTCTTGTATACTTCATTCCACACATGTGATCTCGATGTTTAAGAGAGAGTGGAAGAAAAGTAGAGAGGAAGAGGCAAGTTGGAAAGGCCTGTGATAGATGACAAGCAATACAATGCAGAAATATTAGTTGTTTTCATTCAGCAAACCACCACCACCAGCCCTTTGCCTTTTTCAGAATATCTCTTTGAAACCAAAGAATTCCCACTGTCAGCTGATTCCATGTCAGGGGAGAGGGTGAAAATTTAGGGATCGAGAATTGTTCCCCAAAATTATAACTATTTCCCACTCCTCAAAAAAGAAGTTTATCATTCAAATCAGTAAGTTTGAGGCCATCACTTGTTGGGAGCTGGGTCTCTTTTAAAATTGTGACATCAAAATGTCCCAAAGGAAGGGAAACTGACAAGTTTGACAAGTATTTTTAAAAATGAGTTATTACAGGGGCCAGCCTGCTGGCGTAGTGGTTAGGTTTACATTCTCTGCTTCAGTGGCCCAGGGTTCATGAGTTCAGATCCTGGGTGTGGACCTGCACACCGCTCATCAAGCCATGCTATGGTGGCGTCCCACATACAAAGTGGAGGAAGATTGGTACAGATGTTAGCTCAGGGACAGTCTTCCTCAAGCAAAAAAAGACAAAGATTGGCAACAGATGTCAGCTCAGGGCCAGTCTTCCTCACAAGAACAAAAAAGTTATTACAAGTCCATACCTTCAAACCCGTATTCTTCAAAGAATTTGTTGTTTCTTTCACTGAAATGACCCGTCTCTCCCTTTAACCCCTGGGCACCCACAGGAGAGGCCCAGTTGATGTAACTGGGGATGAACTCAAACTTCACAGAGTTCGTGTTACCAACCGAAAACCGCCTGAACTTTTCTTGTGGTTGGAACTTGAGAAATGAGGAAATACAACATACGGTTTTCAGGAACCATTTAAATAACTGGGCCTAGTTCTCATTGTGCTCTATGGCTTCGAAAAGCTGATACGAGTCTTGAGCCCAGGGAGCTTCAGGCTGCGATCAGATCAGCAGAGCAGGCTCTACAAAAATCTTCAGCCTGTGCTGCCTCTTCTCCAGGTTTCAGCTCACAGGGTGACAGATTTTAGAGAGGTTCCTAATAGGAAATTTATTTTCCAATGCAACAGTTTCCTCAGAACTGTTCCTTATTGATGAATTAGGGCTTTGACAGTGCTGAATAAAATAACTTCATTTGGGCATTGGATTTTCTTACTCTGTAGTTGTAGGTGGGATTAGCCTGAATTAGCGGACATACCCTGTAGTGACATATACCATCCTTCATCCATGAAGAAGAGTCACCACTTATTTATCAAGTACCTGCTGTAGTCAGGCATCAGGATACATCAGGGAGTAAAACAAACATCTCTGCCCTCCATCCCAGCTCCTTAGCCTAGTCCTCCTTGAAGTATTTCACAGGAGGATGAGGAAAGATGGTGGCTATGAAAGGTAGTTTTTCTGTAAAGCATAGACTTCTGCAGAAATGTGGTCCTCTGTCTTAGCCTCACCAGCACCACAATCTAAATATGAGAAGAGTGGTCATCGAGTGCCTTTGTGTACCCCGAGAAGAGGAACAGTTCGCCAGGAATGCAGTGATGTCATCTAGATGGCCACTCTGATACTGGAGAAGCTTTCGAGAGAAACTAAAGGGTTGGGGATGAATCCAGGGCAGTCTTTGGTTCCAAGAAGCAGCTGATAACAAAATATTAGCTGTTTGTCATCTCACACACAGTCAAGAACAGTGAGAGGAAGGCTGAGAATGACTCTGGGGAAGATCCCCTAGTTTGTTCCAAAGGCGCTTCCACCGGAAGGTATGAGAATTTACTAGGAAAGTTTTAAGGATCTGTCTCCTCCCAAGAAGCTGTTAGCGAAGCAGCATGTACACCCTCTTTTCTTGCCTATGTCTGATTGTATGTGAATGTGGTAGTTGAGTATTTTTGCAGTTTAAACCTATGATTGATGTAGAGTATAATCGTTTAATTAATATTTAACAAACTTCAATCCTCCAATATCAAAGTTTAGCCATACCTGAAACAAACTTGTAATTACATGTCCTTATATATATGAATCATGAAGTATCAGTTATAATTGAGAGTTAAGTTGCATGTGAAACAAGAATTTTCCTGTCTTTTTTGTCTTACTGTTAACTATCCAAATCAAAATTGAAATACTTTCTATACTTTTGCTTCCCTTTATAAAATATTTTCTAGAACAGTCTCAATTCATTATCTTGCATTTTTCTCTCTTAAAACGTAAGCCTGATATGGACCTTTCCATCTGAATTCTCAGATCTTCAATCTGTGCCAAACTGACAGTTCTTTTTTAAGTTTGGGAGTAGTAATGATTTTCAGACAAATAGAAGAAAATGTTATTTTGTTTTTGTATCAAGGCATGAGTCATAATCAGTTTTATATTTTCCTACAGTAAGCATCTATGGGTCCAAATTATTGAACTTCCAGGTTAAAAGTTAAGCTATTCATTGTTGTAAGTGACACTGGATGCCCTTCTGAATGTAGCACCCTTCACCTGCATCTTATGATCAAGAGTTACTAAGTGTAATACAGCCAGACTATACAAGTCATGGAAAGCAGTTTATCATTAATTCCTAGACAATTCCTAGGGGTGAGTGTTTCTCAGATTTTAGTACTATGATTATCTAGACCTGTACTGTCCAATATGGTAGCCACCAGTCGCATGTGGCTATTTAAATGTAATTTTAAGTTAAATATAATTAAAAACTTAATACCTCACACTAGCCACATTTTAACTGCTAATGGCTACCACGTTGGACAGCTCAGATATAGAACATGTCCATCATTGCAGAAAGTTCTGTTGAACAGTGCTGATCTAGACACCTGAGGAATTTGACTTTTATTTCTCTTTCTAGGAAGAGAGACATCATGCAGAATATTGTACAGATTTTGGAATCAGTACAGTTGAAATGGGAACTATTTCAGAGCTGGACAGACTTTTCAAGGCTTCATCTTTCTAATAAACTGGCCATTTTTGGAATTGGTTATAACACCCGTTGGAAAGAGGATATCCGTTACCATTATGCTGAGATCAGCTCCCAGGTACCCCTTGGCAAGCGACTCCGGGAGTACTTCAACTCCGAGAAGCCTGAGGGACGTATCATTATGACCCGAGTGCAGAAAATGAACTGGAAAAATGTCTACTACAAATTTTTAGAGATCACTATTAGTGAAGCTAGGTGCCTGGAGCTGCACATGGAAATTGACTGGATACCCATTGCCCACTCCAAACCAACGGGTGGCAACGTTGTTCAATATTTATTGCCAGGAGGCATTCCCAAAAGCCCAGGCCTTTATGCCATTGGCTATGAAGAATGTATCGAGAGGCCCCCCTCACCCCACATGGAGCGACGTTCCCTGGACGCCGGAAAGGAGGGCCGGATTGACTTGGAAACCCTCTCAGCACAAGCCTCATTACAGGTGGAAATAGAACCCACCCGAATTATCTATTGCTACCTCGGGATTGCTGAGGTCAGGACTCTGCAGCAATGCTTATTTTTACATTTCCAAGCAAATACTAAAACCTTCAGCAAAGATTGGGTTGGTATTAATGGGTTTTTGTCTCAGAACTGTATTGTGGATCCTGGAGTTTCCCCCAAATCCATCTATATCAAATTTGTAGAAGTAGAGAGGGATTTTCTTTCCGCTGGCTCTTTGGTTGAATGCCTGGAAAAAGCCATTGGATACCCCTTAAAATTTAACAACTGAATGTCATCCTTCATAAGGATTTGGGCTCTTACCTCCCTCTTCTCTACTCACTTCTCATTACCCAGACTGTCCTTCATCCAGATGCTGCCATCAGACTCTTCATGGAAATTCTTTCCACGATTGGGCCAGTACACCTTCTAAGGAATCATAGTAGACTCTGGGCAGAAAAAACAGACCTCACCTGAAAATGCTCATTTTGAGCAAGCAAGATATACAGCGAACTTGCATGGTGGGTCAGCTGTTTCTTTTTTAAAAACAAAAACCAATTTTTAAATGGATTTTAGAGCCCTAATATAAACAAATGTAGGTACATTCCATATTGGACAAAACTTATACTTTGAGTTTCATATGAAATTGAAAAATTGTATTTTTTTCACAATGTTTCATTTTTACACATCTCTATGTCTCTATATAAGTATTATTTACAACCCTGAATAAATAAGCAATAGATAATGGCAAGTTAAATCTTGAGTCACAGTAAAGAAGACTGTTTTTCAATATCACACTTAGCTACTATTGTATATAATTTAGTTTCATTTTTTTCACCAACCAAGTGTTTTGCTATTCCCAATCAGTGTTGCCTGCAAAGACCTTTGTTTCTGTGATGTACCAACTTTATGGTTGTGTTGCCATTTAAACTTTTTTAAAAAAAAACAAATTAAAGGAATTCCTGGCCTCTTGGCGTCCTAGTTGAGCTTTTCGTAGCAGAGTTGTAGTCGCACTGGCAATGGGGGCTGTGCTCTGACTTTGCTGCTAAGAATGAACAGAACAAACAGCAGGATGTTTCAGTGCCTTTCGCTCTCTGTATCCCACTAACCAATGTCATTATTTCTTGGCAGAATTCCAGATGTCATTGGACATTTCATTTAGTATTTCTTTTTTGAAAACCACTAGGATATTCCTTCTGACTCTAAGTACATGAATTTGTAAGAGACTTTCAGTCCTCATCTTTACACTCAGTAATCAGGGGCATCTCTCTCAAGGGGTCCAAGTGGAGAATTGATGTCATCATGCTGCCCATGAAAAAGGAGAGAAGACCCCCCACATTTTTTTAAATGATCCATAGGATAGGACATTGTAAGGTATCACTCCATTAGGAAAGTAACCATCACGTTTAGATCTTTCAGAGATTTCTCTGGGTCAACTAGCATTCCACTTAGAGGTTAGTACTCCTGGCTAAGAACCAGCCTACTAGGAGGGTGGTCAAGGATCACTTTGGTCTCGTGGCAGGGCCTTGATTGATTGGTTATTTATCTTCCATGATCCCCCAACATCTCTCAGGTGCTCTACTTTAAATGGACTGAAAATCCAGGTAAGAGCTATAATTCTCCCCATTTTTCTACACTTTTGAAGATAAAATTGCATATTGGTAAAATTAAAAAAAAAAACACGCTTTTTTTTCTGTCCTGCAACCTGAATGGTCTCAAATCAGTTCAGTGATTGTTTTCATTCTGATATCGCTTGGTTGCTTGCTGCTTATTTATTTTTCTAGTGGCAAAAGAGCTTATAATCCATGGGATAACTGTTATTAATGTCATTTCAGTCTAGGTGTATAGAGTTGGCTGTTTTCTGATGTGAGCTGCTAAACGTGAGTGCTTGTTCAGGGAGAGTATTGATATTCTGGAATGTTTGAGTGTAGTTCCTCATCTCCCTGGGCACAGTCTGTAGGCATGGGCCTTAGGAAATTCTCATGAATTTGCTCTTTTTTGGAACTTGGAATTACAGACCTAAAGGCTGAGGCTCCATTGACCATCTTGTAGCAATAATCTCATAGTATTCAGTGCTAAGTGCTGCAGAAAAAAAGCATTATTACCAGGAGTACTACATGGCATCCCCAACCTTTGCCACTGACCAACCCCAGAACTAACATTATGCTTCATGCATTTTTTCTTTCTTTATTTTTTTTTTGAGGAAGATTAACCCTGAGCTAACTGCTGCCAATCCTCCTCTTTTTGCTGAGGAAGACTGGCCCTGAGCTAACATCCGTGCCCATCTTCCTCCATGCTTCATGCATTTTTTCTCTCTCCCACTTAGCTGGGGCAGAGCACTTGGGGAGCACTGAGGGAGGATGTTTTGGATCTACCTAACATTACTGAGAATGGGGCACTGCTGGACCACCATGAGCAGCACGGAGAAGATGGCAGAGACGGACCCACTATGTGTTTTCACCATTTGGCTTGGGGTGGCTGAGGGGAAGGGGCAAGAGGACAAAGCTGAGCTTTGGGAAATGGAGACTTGGAAAGAAAGTAGCTTGCTGATACTGAATATCCTGTCTCTTTGGCCAGAACAATCTAGAAAAGAGGACAGCAGCCTGTCAGATAACTATATGAGCATTGCTAAAATCAAAAAGTGGAGTATTTAGACCTTAATGAAGCCTTATAACTGATTGAAGGGGGATGGAGACGCTATTCAAATGTAAGAATCAGCATTAGAAAATACTTTAGAGATAAAAGATGAGGTTGATTGGAAGAAATCTAGTGACCTGCGAGTCTCTTAACACATGAAACTCTGGACTTAGTTCTTGCACACAACATGTTTATGCAAGCAGTTCCCAGGTCACTCACAGAACACCTGTGCCAACATGCTCATTTTACACAGGGGTGGAGAGCAATGTGCACCCTAAAATTCATCTTAGCAAAAACTTTCAGAAAGTAGTAGAGCTGCTCTGGTAACTTCTAGCACTTGACTGCCTCAGGGTCAGAAGAAAAAAGTGATTAAATAGGAGACAGTCTGGAAAGTTCTTTGGGGTGAGGGCAGTGAAAGTGAAGGGACTGCCCCTGTGTCACATGGAGACAGTCACTGCCTACAGATGTTTGGTTGCAGCTTTCCTTCCAATGTTGCAAATTATTTGGGATCCAAATTCTGAAGGAAAAGTTAGCTACAGAGTGAATGTTGAGGCTCTACCCTATGTAGCACTCGCTAGGATGAGCACAGCCTGTGTAGTGCTTTGGTGTTCCTGGGAGGTACAACTAGAAGGCTTTGCACTGCATTTCTTGGAAGAAATTACTTATTTGGGGTGACTGTAGTCTGGTCTGGAAGCAAAGGGATGTTTACAAGAGGTAGTTTGCAATGTAGACTAAAGTCAAGAAAAATTTAGATAGAATAGAAAAACCAAACCAATAGCCCCCCACCCCAGACACTCACCCACAATCTACTTGACAATTCCAGGTTTGTAGGTCCCTGGGCAGTTACCTATTTCTGTTGCCTTTGCTGCCACTGAGCTGCCAAGTATTAGATTCCAGGGTTTGCATGAGCAGTCTGGCGTTTGCGTAGGCATTTCTCAAAGCCACTGCCTGGTAGGTATTTGAAGAGCAGCCAGGCAGGTCACACTAGGAAGAAGCAGCTGAGAGGGTCTGTGGGGCAATGTGTAGAAAAAGACCTTGTGCAGTGCAGGCACAAAGGACACAATGTTAAGAGCATAACTGTGTGGAATAAATGGAATCCAGGAGGCCTGGTTGCTTTTCTTCCCAGTCAACTGCCACCCAGAGCAGACAGCGCCAGGAGTTACTGGTTATTCGTTCTGCCCTGGGCGACCTTTGCTCGGTGGTTGAGCTGGCCCCGGATGTTTGAAGCATCTTGATTTTGGCTGTTGGACCCAGAGGCAAGAACAGGTGCGTGCCTTTCTGTAGGGGAGCCGCGGCCGCCAGAGGGCGCAGAGGGGCCTTTTGACTGAATGGCTGGGGAGGCGGGCGGGGGTGGGGTCGTTAAATTAAATTCACAGCGAACGAGATCTAGAGCCGGGAATTAAAGGATCAGAGCGGGCCTGAGGAGGGATGGGAGGCAGCGAAGATACAGGGGATAAAGAAATGGAGGGACTGTGTCCAGTCTACCTTCCCGCAGCCGCCCCCTCCTCCCCAGGCAGCCTAAGACCTATATTTAAGCCCTTCTTTTCAGAGGCGAGGAGCTGGGAACAAGGCTTGTGTTTCCTCAGTTTCCCGCTCAGCTCCCGGGGCTTCCTTGTGCCAGTCTGTTACCTGCTCGGGGTGTGAGGCACAAGACCCGGGTGACCCTCGGGCCTGGGTTTTAGGGAGTTTCGGAGAACCTGCCGAGAGCCCGCCTCTCCGCCGGCGCGGTGCGGCCCCAGGCCTCCTCCGGGCAGCCTCGGGCGGGGGGCGCGTGCGGGGCTGGGCGGAGGCGGCCGTGGCCCTAACTCTCCCCCGACGAGCTCCTGCGGCCGGGTTCCCGGGGCCCAGCCCGCGCCTGGCACTGGGAAAGCGGCGGTTTCGGACAGCAGAACGGGACCCGCGCGGCCGGTACTCTGGCCCCTTCCTGCCGCTCCTCCCCCCGCACTGCGGAGTCCCAGTGGGCCCGGGAAAACGCGGTTCTCCCCTTCCTCCAGGAAGGCCGCCCGGGTTAGGCCGAGGACGCCTTACCCCCAAGCTCGGAACCAGTTAGTCGGGCCAGAGCTCCAGCCGTTTACGGGGTCAGTGGTGCGGGTGGCCCCTGCACGTCGGATAATCCCCAAACCTCCTTCCCTTCCTAGTCCTCTTTCCTACCCCACACTGGCCGAGGGGGAAGGGTATGGCCGCAGTGTGACGGTTCAGGACCCTTCTGTTTTCCCCTTGCCGCAGGGCGCCACGACTTACCCGGCCCCACCCTACGTCCTGACCCGGTAGAGGCCCCAAGATCCGGCCGTCGGAGCGCGAGGAGCGCCCCCCCGCGGCAGGTCACCCGCGCACTCCGCCGGAGAGGACGGCGACCTCTCCGCCCCCTCGAATGCCCCGCCCCCGTGTCCCCGTCGGTCCCCACCCGCCACCGGCACACACGCACAGACTCTGGCTAGAGCCGCCCTTGGTGTCAGTGGCCCGGCTCCCGCGTCCGCTCCGGCTGTCGTGCATCCTCAGCACCTGTCGGTTGGTGTGTCCCGCAGCCTGCACCCCTGACTCCGTCGGGGCCAGGGAAGGCCATGGTTTCCCTGCCCGGGCCCCCTGCGACCAACTTGCTGCGGTTTTTGTTCCTGGGGCTGAGTACCCTCGGTGAGTGAAACCCGGACCAGGAGGGGACTTGAGATGGGAGATGGGGTGAATCTGACCCTGAGGGAGGTGGTTTTGGGTACTGATGAGGACCGGGGGGGGGGGGGGGGGGGCCTGCCTCTGACTCTTGCCTTCCCCCAGACATGTCCCCCACCCCCGCCACTCAGGGCATCCCTGGCCGGTGCTGACTTCTGTCGGGGACAGCTCCCACTTTGGGTGCGGTGTGCGGGGTGAGGAGAAGTTAGGGCATCACCTGGGTAGACCTCTGGGGTGAGCTATCAGAACCATTCCTCACCCCAACTCCCCACCTCCACCCAGCAGAGCCGGATGAGCTGAGCTGCTAGATGAGACACTGGCTAAAGAGCTTAAGGACTTAACTCCAGCCCCCTCAGGTCCCCCCCACCCCACACACAAACTGATGTGCAGAGCCCCCAGGAATTCCCTGGTCCCCTGAGCTTTACACACGCACTTCATGTCAATTCCCCTGCTTAGATCCTCCCTCTTGCCCCCTCCTCCTGCTTCCTGCCCTGGGAATCAAGGGAGGTGCCCCAAAAGCACGACCGTGAGGTCATTTGGGACACAGGAAATGGGGGAGGGGTTCAAATGCCTAAAGGACAGAACTGTGACCCCCCCCCCACCACCACCAGAGCTCTATTACCCCCATTCGTTCCCAGAGCCAAAGGGACAAAGCAAAGAGTCAAAGAGGAAGGGCACCTCCTTGAAGCAAATTCTTGAGGAGTGTTGAAGGCTTCCAGAGGCACCCAGGAACTGGGGGTGGCCCAATGTGACATCTGGGGAGAAAAGGACCCTGCAGGAACTAAACCTGTTATAAGCCATTTCACTTGCTACCTCCCAGGCTTTCTTGCCACTCCTCTTCAAGGATCCTGAATGAGGGTGAAGGCTGGGTTTGTTGGAGATGGCTTTAACTCCTCATTTCTCTCAGGTTGCAAGTCTCCGGGGCAAGTAAGGCTTGGAAAGATGTAGAGTGTAATTCGGCCACGGTGATGAGGACTGAGGTGGGGACCACTTCTCAGTCATGTCCCCTTTAGCTTGGTTTTTGCTGCAAGGGTGTTGTGGCATGAAGTATTAGGGTCCCCAGACAAAGTGTGGGGCTCAAGAGCAGCCAGCAGCACCAAAGCCTATACAGCTCCCGGCCCCTCTAGGCTTGGTGGGCCTGCCCCAGGATCCCTCAACTTCTCAGCCTGCCTCTCCCAACTTCAACCTGAGCGCCTCTTTCCCTTCTGCCTTCTACCCCCAACTCCCCCATCCCCCTACCTGCTGGGCCTCCGGAGCCGGGGAGAAGAATTCAAGCTTGCCGCCGGTGCATGGTCTGCAGCTCTCCTGCAACCCCTCCTTTTTCTATCCGAACTCTGAGCCTCAGTTTTCATACTGACGGCCCAGGCTCAACGTTCCGGGGGGATTGCCGAGCTCCCGCCAGCCGGTGGAGAGTTAAATGGCCCTGGGGACCCACGGCGCTTCGGGCAGGCACCCGGCGCTGCCCGACGGCTCCCAGCGCGGCCCTTCCGTCCCGCGCGCTCCTCGGAGGCTCAGCGCTGCTGCCCCTGGGGCGTGAGAAGCCCGCGGGGGGAGTTTCTCAGAGAAGGAGGGAGACTAAAAATAGTCGGCCTGGGGAGCCGGCCCGTTTTCGTTCTCCGTCGGCCCGCGCCTGCTCCCTCACTCTCGGGCCCGGAGCGGGCCAGAAGGGTCACTCTCTTGGGCTGCTCCTCTCTCCTTCGCTCAGACCCAACCACCTCGTTTTCCTCTCCCTATGGCACCGTGGACGCCGGGAGTGAAAAGGGACGAAGAGTTGGGGGCATCTGCTCGAGCGGACACCCGGGACGGGGGCGGGGAAGCCTCGGGCCCTCTTCAGCCCCTAGTTTCTGACTGGCGGCGTAGGACAGGGAGCGTTTGTTCCTTACTATCTATTTTAACCCCCGTCTACCTTTTGTAAAGTGAAATTATAAATGCGGGACCTGGGTGGGTCGCTGGGGTGTGTGTGCGAAGGAGGCTGGCGCCCCTCCCGGGACCCAGGCAGGTTGGCCGGCGGGAGCTGGTTCTGGCCGCAGGGAGCGTGCTGCAGGAAGGCCTCGGAAGAGCCGCCACCGCCCGCAGGCCTCCTGGCGTCCCTGGCTTCGCCCGAAGAGCGAGCAGGCGGGTCCCCAGGGGGCTTTGGGCTCCTTGAGGCGGAGGTTGTTTTCGCTTGTAGAGCCTCCGGTCCAGTGGCCCCCCCGTCATTGTCTTCTGGCTTATCACTGGGCACAAGTTTCCTGCCCAGCCCGCAGGGACCTGCCAGGAAATGGGAAGGGGGTGCTGCAAAGGCCAAGGAATAGGGGTGGTGGTTCGGTAAAGACGCGCAGCCGGGAAGCGGTGGGGGCGGCGCGCATCCTGGCCGGATCTGCTCCTTGGCCCTCAGAGGCCTTCGGTCTGGGCCTAGAAGGGCGGAGAGCCGGGCCTGCGGACCCTGAGCGCGCTTTGGCCGCCTGGTCACCATGCGGAGGTGACGTCTCAGACTCTGGTGCAGGAGTGCTGAGGCCTTGGAAGAGCAGGGCCAAGGACTAGGGCGGCCAGCATACTCAGGCCTGGCCGGATACAAACCCAAGGTTATTCCCCCAAAGGGCTTAGGATTCAGGCTGCTCCGTTGCCTCTCTGAAGGGCAAAAAGTGAGTGTTCCTGGGCGCCAGGGTGCCAGTATTGATTCGATAGTCCACTCCTTGAAACCAACACCCCAGTGCACCTCCTGAACACTGGACACACGCAGACACAAGCTTTGTACTTGATTATCAGGGGCCCTTCATTCGTCCCAGCTCTGCTGTTATTCCCTGTGACCTCAGAGGATCCGTCCAGATCGCTTGGGCCCCAAAAGGGCCCTTGGGAGCTTTCTGGGTCTCAACTCTCCGCTTTCCGGGGAAGCCCACGTGTCGGGACGGAGCGGGAGGCCAGGAGCACTGCAGCCACTGGGCCAGGCTGGGCGCTGGGCCGCTCCAGCCTCTCTCGCTCTTGCTCGGAGCAGTTCAGAAGGAGCCGCGGGGTTAATCAGTAACGGGGCGGCCTCCCAACCCCCTCCGCCCATGAGGTTGAGAACGCAGGAGCGAGGAACGCCGGCGATCCTGACCGGCGTCACGTCTGCCCCATTGGCTCTCGCCCCGGGGGAATTCGGGGAGCAAGTGGGCTAAGCAGAGTGTACATCAAACGTATTACATCTCCCCTTCCTCTTGGATGTCTTCCCCTCCTCGCTGGAAATCTGCCCCCTCTTCTTGGTGCTCCGAAACCTGCGCCTCTGGATATAAATAAATGCATAGAAATGTGTCCCTATCCCCGCTACAAACCCACAGGCTGAGGTTGGGGAGAACGAGCTCTGATGGAATTGAAAGCAGGACGCTAATTTAGCGGGCCCTGGGCGGTCTTCGAGGCCTCCAGTGGCGGGACCTCGCGAGGCTCGTCCTTCCTGTCCGCAGGACTTTCGTGACCCTCTCCTCCCGCCGCGTTGGGCAGGGTCTGCGGAGCGAACCGGGAGCCAGCCCTCCGCGCTCATGCCTCGCTCTTGTCCCCAGCGTCCCCCTCGCGGGCCAAGCTGGACCTGCACATGCCCGCCAGCCTCACCGGGTTGCAGGCGGTAGAGAGCGCGGATGTGGTGCTGCCGGCCTGGTACACCCTGCCAGGGGAAGTGTCTTCCGCTCAGCCGTGGGAGACGTCCACCGTGATGTGGTACTTGGTACAGGAGGGGAAGGATCCGGACCAGGTAAGGGAGGAAAGCCTCTCAGCCAGAGGCCAGCTGCTGCGCCCCGTCAGGGCCGTAGGGAAGAGCTGTCTACCGTGGGGCGAGGGACTGGCCAGGGAGTAGGGTCCGGCAAGAAGTTTCAGGGAAGAGCTAGGTCCTCCTCATCGGTTCTATTTTTGTTCTGACCTTGGAGGGTTCCCAAAAGAATTCTCTTTTTCCCAGCTTTCCCTAGAAATCCAGCACACAAAACACTGAAAAGTAGAGTGGCGTTTTACTTCGCTTTCAGGGTGGGGAAGTGAGGGTTGGGGTTTGAGGAAATGAGAAGGGTTAGGGCAATTATCACACAACTTTTAAAGTTGAGCATCTTTCTGTTTTCACATTCTCTGTGCTTTGAACACTGTCACAGGCCGCTTCTTTTCCCAAATGATCATCTGTCCTGCTGCCCCTTTATATCCTCCTGGAGAGGCAAGGGTATTCTCCTCTCACAGTCTCCCACCTATCCTCCTTCTTGACATCAGACTTATGCTCAAAGGTGGATTTACCCAGAAGCCAATGACACTTCATTTTCAGAGCCCCTTGCTTGCATGGGCTCCTTCCAAGGCCCCAGAAAGTGTGTTCAAGAGGTCACTTGATAAATAGGGGGTATCTATGAAAGAAACTTAGATCGCAGAGGTAGATCCAGGTTTCACAGGGCTTGAACTTATACATAGGGGAGGGGCATCTTCTGGAAAAAGATTAAAAAACATATATTTTTTTTTATCTTGGATCTACCCCTGCAGTCTAAGTTTCTTTCATACATACTCTCTATTTACATTAGCCCTTGCAGATTATACCACCTTTCTAAACACCTCCAGTGGGTGATGAAGAGACAATGTATAGGGAACAAG